CCGTCTTCTTCTTGCTGTGTTATTCTTCTCCTCTTCTTCTATGAATCTGTCTTCCACTCTCTCTGTCCTTCTTCTTAACATTTGAGGTACTGTAATCCCTCTTCTCTTGTTTTTCTAAATATGTTTCTCTTCGTTATTTCTTTCATTTCTAAATCTGAATCCATCTTGTCTTACTTCTCTGAATCTGTATCCATCTTCTCTGTCTCTTCTTACTATGCGGATCCTTCTCCTTCTATTTTATATTTGTTCACATAGTAATAGAACTTATCAATCAATGAAATGCAATTTACATTTTGGCTGGGATGTTGATAGGTTGGGTTAGTTAGTAGGGGCTAATATGGCTACAAATATAATGGAAAAAGTAGGAGGTCGAAAACCTGGAATGGATACTCTCATATGGAGACCGAATGTACACGGAAGGTTCTCAACCAGGAGTGCTTGGGATGTGGTCCGAGTAAGGGCTCCTATGGTGGAGTAGGCGAAATGGGTATGGCATAATGCTTTTCCTAAGAGGGCTTCAGTTGTGATATGGAAGGCTTTGTCCGGGAGTCTCAGTTTTGATGATAGATTACGTCAAGTTGGAGTGGCTATGGTGTCTAGATGTAACTGTTGCATTACTGGCCATGATGAGGATGCTAACCATGTTTTAAGCACTGGAGACTTCGCAGATGAGGTGTGGAGGAGACTTTCCTGGACTCTTGGTGTTAGGTGGCGTGAAAAAAAGCTTGGTGGGATAGAATAAAAATTTGGTGGGCCCGAGCTAAAAGATCCTGTCAACTAGGAGGCTTATAGGGGTTAATCCCATGTTTAGTAACTTGGAGGCTTTGGATTCGAAGATGTAGAACAAGGATGGAGGAATTATATGAATCAGTCAAACATGTTGTTCTGTCCATTAAATTTTGGCTGTAGCACTTGGTAAATAATGTTACAAAAGACCAGAGTATTGGCACGTGAGGAGGAAAAGACCCTAACAGACATGGGCATTCCTTGTATAGTCAGGAAACAATCACCTGTACGTTTCGTGACTTGGAAAAAACCAATTGCTAGGAGAGTAAAGATAAATATAGATGAAAGTAGCTTGGGTAACCCAGGCCAGACAGGTGGAAGAGGAGTGATTCGTAACGAAAAAAGGGATGGTGCTGGCGGCATTTGCCACTAATTTTAGGACATCGTAGAATAATGAAGCTGAGCTGAGAGCTACTATTGAGGGACTTAAACTTTGCCAGCATATAGGAGTTTTTCATGTTGATCTTGAATGTGATTCCAAGATTGTTGTAGATTGGATGTTGAAACGCAAGTGCACAGTTTGGTACTTGTGGGATTTTTGGGAGGAGATATTGAATTTAATGAGTTTATTTGAAATTCAGGTTTCACACCAGTTCAGGGAAGGGAATCAAGTTGCAGATTTATTAGCAAAAATGGGTGCACAAGGTATAACGCAGCTTTTCACATCTAGTACTGGCTTGCCTGTGTATGCTCGAGGTCTAGTTCGGTTGGAACGCATAGGAGTCCCCTATCTACGTATGTAAGTTGTTGGTCTAGTTTTCTAACCCATTGTCTGTAAGGTTGTTTTGTCACCACGGTATTCCTTCGCCATAAGTGAGGTTTGCTTTCAATAAAACTTATTATTATAAAAAAAATAAATAAATAAAGTTTCAGCTTGGGTTATTGATTCCCAGCTGATTATATTCAATCGTGTTTTAATTTTGATTGAAGTTTAGTTGGTTTTGGTTGAAATTGAGCCCCAACCATAACAAAATTATACATGCTTGGTGTGGACTAGAACACGTATGAGGCATATAAGTAAAAGAACAGTGTTGAGATTGGTGAAGAAGCTGGCAAATTAAACTTATCTTCACAGTTTATAATTCAGAGAAAATAAGAAACAAAGTGATATTGTAGCACATTCTAAGACTTCTTGTCTGGTTTTTTTGAGTTTGTTAGACTTTTGATTAAAATTTAAATTTGACTATAGTGCGCAAGACTTTGAAATAGATACAAATAAATTTCTTCCCTTTTAAAGTGGGATAAAAATAGATTTCACTTATAGTTCTCCCTTAGATGGCCCATGATTGTTGTAAAACCTTATGAAAATCCTAATATTGTTACAGAATATATTACTAAGACGATTAAAGGATAAAGATTCATACACAGAAGCAACTGTTGATTTCTCTATAGATTTAAAGGATCACAATTCTGAAGCAACTGTTAATTCCTCTAAAGATTCTAAGGATCACGAGGAGGGGGTTGAGAATGGAACGCCAAGTAACACAGTTGAAGATGGAAGTCAAAGTGATATGAATATATGATTGAGCTTAACAATTCTCATAAGACCTTTTGGGAACCAATGAGAACTGATGATGATCACAGTGTGAGAACTTTCGGAATTCACCGTTTTTGGAATTCACCATTTTTGGTGCGTGGAACTGAGGAAGACAGATAGAATAGGAATGAGTTATTAAGAAAAAAAAATGAGGCCCTTTAATTTTTGGGCCCGAGGTCTGGGTCGAACTTTCTTGCTTTGGCCAGTGGTGGGTGGCCGGTCGGACTCCCAAATGAAAATCTCAATTAGGGTTGTTTGTGTTTTGCAGATGACAATTATTTCCCTCCCTTTTTTCTCTTGTTTTGATGTTTTGGAGATGACAAATAGTACAAATTTAATATGGAGTCAAATCTCAATTAATGGTGGACATGTTAGGTATTGAAATTATGCAGAGGGGTAAAAATGTCTAATTATGACATTCTTGCAACTAATTTAAAAATGTGACATTTTGGTAATTACATGGTAGTAAAATGACACCTGGCGTAATTTCCTCAAATTTAAATTTGACTATAGTGCGCAAGACTAGTGTGTAAATTGAAATATATACAAATAAATTTCTTCCCTTTTAATGTGAGATAAAAATAGATTTCACTTATAGTTCTCCCTTAGATGGCCCATGAGTGTTGTAAAACCTTATGAAAATCCTAATATTGTTACAGAATATATCACTTAGACGATTAAAGGATAAAGATTCATAATTACACTTATAGTTCTCCCTTAGATGGCCCATGATTGTAGTAAAACCTTATGAAAATCCTAATATTGTTACAGAATATATAACTAAGACGATTAAAGGATAAAGATTCATTTCGAAAAGCATGAAAAAAGTATACGTACAATAATAGTATATAAAGGTTCACAAAAAGTCGAAGTCATGATAAAAGCATCTTAACTTGAAAGATGTGCAATTTAAAATGAGGTGGATGGACATCAAGATTAATCTGCGCGATCATTAGTATTTACTTCCTAGAGAAACTATAGCATTTTTCCTAAGGAAGATTGGATATAAGTTCAAATCTTACTCATATTATGTATATCGGCCAATATTGCAAAAAAATAAAAAAATAAAAAAAATACAGCTTAATGGATTGGAATTTAGTGCTAGTTACTCGTAATCACAAGAAAAGCCCTTTGCCTTAATGGATGTTGTTTATTACAATCTATCGTATTGTTGTGTTTAAGGTCCCAAAAAACCCAGGAAGGAATAAAGGGGAAAAGAGAAAACTGGAAAAAGAAAGAAAAGGGCAAAAGCAACTATCAGAAACATGGCTTCATGTCTCTCTCTGTTAATCATCAAACACAATAATTCAAGGAAAATTCAAATTTGCTTAGCCAATACCATGTGCCCACAATCCACAGATCCATTAGACTAGAAGTGACTGAAGTAAAAAAGAGATTGGAGGGTATCTCCCCTAGTAAATTGTCGTAGATCATCTCATCTAAAAGTTTAAATATAGTTTCATTGTTGAGAGATTAAGTGAGCATTATGGGATCAAATGACAGACATTGTCGAGAAAAATTCAACGGCTTCTCACTCATGAGAAAGTCTTACATTGAAGATAAGATAAACCGAAAAAATTGAAGTCAAACCGTTTATATTTTTTAGACTGTTTGTCTTCACATGAATGTAAAGTTTAGGAGAGGTAGCTTAAGATGGCTGCAAAGAGACACCACTACCAAATAATAGGCAATACTAATCATATGAAATTGCATTTTTGAAACTGTAAATGGTTTTTATTAAGTTGATTATTAGTTGGTGAAGTGATTCCAAACTCATCTCAACGGACACGTAGAAATGCCAGCTGAAACCCCCAATTAAGAATTCATTGTTGATTAATGATAATGTTAATAATAATTTTAATATATAATTCAAGATCATGTGGGTGATTGAAAATCACATGATCATTGATTAAGATAACATTAAAGTTTGCTAATAAAGTAAATCTAATGTTGTTGTCAGTGTCATGGAAGAATATACATCCATCCTGGTAACCCTACACGAAAGACAAATGGACAGTTGTAAGGTTTTGATTGGTTTCTCAAGCAGAATATTGAGAATTGGAGAGCACGAATACGTTGAGAATTGAGTGGAAATGACTTCTTCTCTAACCAAATACAAACCTTATTCTCCATTTCTCTGTTAAGTAATCTTTTTTTTTTTTTTTAATTATTTAAGTTTTTAAGTAAGATAGAATATTGTTATGGTGTAAATCTATCTGTCAACTATATGTACGAAAAATTTCATGTGTAATGAAAAAAGTAAATCCAATTTGCACACCGAATGACTTGTTGAAATTGAAACATAAATGAGTTTGCCATTTTTGAGAATAATTTAAGGTTTTCATGAGGCAGTTTAGCATGATACTCAATTGAACAAAAAGAAATCGTGTAATCAAGCATTTAGTCATCTCCTATTTATAACAAGTTTCACGTACCAAAGTGAATTGTTGGAGTAAAAAAAACAAAGAAATTGATCGTATGTTTATTGTTGTATAAGCTTCTAGACGAGGCAATTTGATACTACATTGTTGAAAACACAATATGATCTAGACCAGTGTTAGTACATACATATATATATATACACACGTTGTCACTACATTAGTACCATTTCTCTCCTACTTATTTCTTCTCTACAATCTGGATGGACAATAAGCTCCTACCAACTTGTTTAGAAGGAATGGCTGATAAATCAAGAGTATTCATACATCCCAACACTTATCAAAGTCCAAGGGAGGCTGCTGCTGTTCATAGCAGTGCCGAAGGCGGCAGCAGAGGTGGTGGTGGAGACAACGGTGTCGGCGGTGGTGTCGGTGGTAGCGCCAGCATGAAGTCATCTTCATCATCACCAGATAGAGGGCTTTCAAGTTCAAAATGCAGTTCTCCAGTCAATGAGGCATCTGCTACAGCTTTGAATCATGGGTTCTTAGAAGAAAATTTGCTCAAAGATCAATATCATGAACATTCTTTCCTTCCTGCATTGAATCCTGTGAGCGAAAATGGATCTTCCATCGAAGGAATAAATTATGTTCCTTTGAATTTTCTTGAATCATTCCCAGCTATAAAGAAAGCTCAAGCATCTGAATCTCCTTCATCATCTCATCCTTTATCTATGAATTCAAGATTCCCAAATTTAGGCCTGTTTCTTCAGAATCTATCACCCTCACAGAATTCATTATTCTCCATGACTCAACTTGATCAAAACCAGCTTCAGACAGGAAAAGAATGGCTGAAAATGAATAAAAACCTAACGAATTATTCTTCCAAAGATTTCAGTGATTATTGGCTTAGCACTACTAAAACTCAACCAATGAAGTTTACAGGGAGAGGTCAAAATGAAAACAGGAAACGTGTCAGAAATGGAAACGCTAGCATTCTGGAAGTTCCTGTCCAACGTGAGGGATCGTCTTCTCCAGGTAAGCTTTTCAGAGGAGTAAGGCAAAGGCATTGGGGAAAATGGGTTGCAGAAATAAGATTACCGCGAAACCGTACACGGGTTTGGTTGGGGACTTTTGACACAGCAGAAGAGGCTGCTTTTGCTTATGATACAGCTGCATATATACTAAGAGGTGATTATGCACATCTAAATTTCCCGGATCTGAAGCATCAAATCAAGACGAATTCCACTAATAACAGTACAGCAGCCCTTCTTGAAGCCAAAATAAGAGCAATATCACTAGGTATTCCTGCTTCAAATAAGGCCATTGATCATGATCAAAAGGAAATATTTCTGCAAGAAAAATCTGTGGTTGAAGAGAATTTGAAGCAAAAATCATCTTCAAGAAAAGAATGGCCGTTGATGGAGTTGGAGAGCAAAGCTGGTTTGGATCAGATGGTTGAGAATAAGAAGAATATTCAAGAAGGGTTATCAGATATTGATATTCAGTTAAGCAGAATTCCATCTCTGGACATGGATACGATCTGGGACGCACTTCTTGTTTCAGATTCATGAACACAGGAGCTGGGTTTGACCGTGAAAATCCACGGATGTTTGGTGCATATCGCTCAACAATATAATGCAATGAACAAAAATTTAACTTATTTTTTCGTCTTTAATCATAGCCAATGTTGTCTATTGGATGTCTTATCAAACGTGCCATTGGTATTTTGATGCAGGACATTAAAATTGATATTTTGTTGTTAATTAATTAGTATTTTATTATTTTGGTTCAGTAGGAGTTTTCTTTTAGTTAGGATTTTTGTTAAAATAGATAAGTTTCTAGAGTTTGTTTAGTTTTACTTTTGTTTAAGCAAGCATTTATAAGATGGTTGATTTTGAATATTGAATAAAAAATTTGGAAATTGTACTTCAATCATTCACCTAAATGATTAATTCATGCATGAATCTCCTTTTACTATTCCATATTTGTTATCGTTTACGCTTCTGCCTGGGTCATATTTGCAATTCATATCTATCAAAGAAAAAGGTCTAATGTTAATTCAGAAGGCATATGTTCATCAAACACAAATAGATCTCCGTTTCATGATTATGTTAGTTTTTGATAATATAACCTATTTTAATATGTGAAGTTTGATGAATTTCTAGGCTTCATAACAATATGAATTATGAAGAAAAGAAAGTTTTTATTTTTTATTTTGCCTCTTTCTATGAAATAAGCGAAGCCGAACATGCTCAATTGATTAATACAATTTGCTATTGTAATAGCTACTGATGAATGTGCCTATCTGGTTCAAGTTATTCTAATTCAGGCAAAAGTCAAAGTTGCTCAAATTTCTTTGCAACATTGAAATTGGGTCGCTAAGGAGTGAGGTACAATCAACATTTACTATATATCAAAAGAGAGCTGGCGGAACAACGTTCCTGACCCATAAGGGTGAAGGGTCTTATGGTTTGACAATTCCTCGTGAGGAAATGAGTTGAGAGAATTTCGAATCATGGGTCTAGGTTTTTGTTCAAAGAAAGCCCCTTTGCCCCGTTCTAAGCCATTTAATTGATTAAAGTTCTGTGACAGGGTCTGTTTTGGGACTTATTATTCTGTTGAAAATCCTTGAAAACTCTGAATCCTACAAGACCAGAATGCCAATATATTATCCAACCGCGACAGCCTATCTTTTCGAACATATCATGTCAAAGTGAAGTCGGATCGTACAGAGTTGTCCAACCTAACTTTATGCCCATAACCAATGAACAAACAAAGACACCAAGAGAACCCTAGATGCCCACGATGCTAGCGCCGGGAACCCAAGAATCCAAAGTTATGACCACAGGTTTGAGAAATAGAATTCTAGGGCTCTGATACTATGTAATCAATAGAGAATAATTTGATATTTTATTACAAGAAGAGAATACACATATATATACAACTGAGATATCTAAATAAGGAAAATAGAATCCCTATAATTTCGCTATATTTATTTACGCTAACAAGGGTCATATTGAGGTTCCGTAAAGTTCAATAGTTTGGGTCGTGTTGAGGTCCCGTAAAGCTCAACATTGTAAAAGGATCGGTGCTCCTTATTTGTAAGTCACCGAAAGTGTTGTAAAGGGTTGGATTGCTCCATAAGTCAATCAACATAATGAAAAAGACCTTACTCGTGCCGAAGAGTTTGGTAATGGGGGACGTAGATCATTGCATTGGATCGAACCTCCATAACATATATCGTTTGCTCTCTCTATCCCTTTTATTTAACGCTTATTCCTTGTGCAAATTTACAATTGCTTTATTTATGTGCTTACTTGTGTTTAGATTATTCATTATCATCACGTTCATTATCATTAAAATCTTGAGTAGTTAANAGACAAAGTCTGCAAACACACTCAAAAACAAAATACATATACGCTAGAGAACACTTCGCCAAACCGAGAAGCTACATCATCCATACAGGATGCACATTCTCGATGTAATGAGGGATGAATGTCACTGTTTAGCACAATGGGATTGAATCTTTTCTTTTACATAGTCAATGATGCTCTTTGAAACGCAGAATACTCCTCTAAACTTTGGCTTAGGATATTGGGACATATCTCCATAGAGAGAATGAAAAGGTTACAAGTTCCTATTGGGAAAGTTTGCTACCAGTATTGAACTGGGACTATAATATATTTGACAAAACTTTAGCTTTGTTCCTTCCATCCAATCTATCTTACTAAACATGCCATCAAGGGCTTTCATGGCCCTTGATGATAGAAACTGATTCACTGGCATTAATGGGGTCAACCTCTCGCACTTCCGCAGGGTTTGACAGTTGATCTTCCTTTTCCTCCATTACGCCAAGTCCTGGATTAATGTCCTCACGTCCAGCTGCACCTGGTCCCATCTGCAACTCAGTTGCTTCTACGTTTGGTGAAATCTCAACACTTAAATTTTTCAGCTCCAATTTGGCTTGGAAAGACTCCCCCATTACCGAGTCCTCATCTGCCTTTTTATACCCTTCCAAATTGCTATCGGTGGAAATCTTCTCATAGGCAGAGGTATCACCTTCAATTTGAATATTCATGTCACGATCCATCAAGCTGGTATCCACAATCAGAGGAAACTGCTGTATTGGCACTGCATTGTTGACGATTTGTCCATTTCCAGGATTGTTGCCCTCACATCCAACTACGTCTTGTCCTGTATGCAACCCAGATGCTTCATTCAGTGAAATCTCAATGTTCATATTTTTAATCTCCATTTCTGGTTGAAAAGAAGCACCCTTTTCTGACTCCTCATCTGCCTTTTCATAACCTTCCAAGATGCTTTTGTCAGATCTTGTTTCATTCTCCGCCATTTGAGCAGAGGTTTCACCTTCAATTTGAATACTCTTGACGAGATCTATTGAGCCAACATCTGGCATTGGAGGAAACTGCTGAATTGGCGCTGCATTGTTAATTGATTGTCCAGTCCTCTGTCTTTTATTGTATTCCTCCAATTCTAGTCTGTATCTTTCCTTATCCCTTAGTGCTTTCTCCTGATAAACCTGAATAAATCACAATTTGTTTCACGCCAGAATAATTATGGGATCATCATTATGTAAACGGAAAGAGATAAAGTAGGAAAAACCAATCTATGAATATCACTTGTGCAAGAGTCGGAGCTTACAGATTTTTCAGTTTCTTGTAGATTGTTCCAGAGTTCACCGATCTTCTTACTGATTTCTCGTTCCCTCCCAGCATAAAGAGGTTTCAGCCTCGAGTGCTCTTCGGCAAAGAAAAAGTTGTACCCGCTTACATTTTTCTTCGGATGTGCAGGATCCCGTCTTTTCCTTTCGGATCTCTTCCTCTTATTTTGACGATGCACTCCAGGTTTTGACAATGAACTTTCCATATTATTTCTGGGCACAAGATGATGTTCAGATACTCCTTGTGCTTCAGATTGTGGAACATGATAAAGAACACCTTTCAAATTCTCTGAGCCGATTTTGACAGTTACAAGATATCCACCTTCAAACTTTCCATCGATCACTCCAGACACTGGGATAAACAGCGATGGTGCTAAAGGTACTGCAAGAATCAAAACGCAACAATATATTTTTTCCTACAATTATCCCACAATTCCAGAACTGAAAGTAGATAACAAAGAAGGAAAATCTCATTCTCTTATGGCTACTGAAATATATTTTTCCTTCTCAATTTTATTAGATATTGTTCCAATCCATTGTGACTATATCGTTCAAACTAAAAATGTCCTCTTTCATAATAGTTCGGCCTATGTATATATTTCTTGGCTAACAAAATAAACGACTATCCCCATCACTGAGAAACCTTTAACTGACCCATGGATACTTCTTCTTCAAGATCTCCATTAAGAAAAGTCATTTTCACGTCCACTTGACGTAACTCTTAAGTCAAAAGATACTGGATGCCACAATAAATCTAAATGAATACTTTGAAATGGAGCACAAGTCTCGTAGTAATCGATACCTTTCTCAATATACCTTTGTGTAAGTGATGAGGCATCAAGCTTTAATGAACAAGAAAACAAAGGAGATTTGAAGAACAAAAGGAATATTGAAGGAGATCGAAGTAAACACTAAGAATTTGTCATCTAGATTTAACCCTCAGCAGAGTCTTCTAGACTACGAAGTTAAGTTGTTGGAATTGTTATTTTTGCTGGAACAATCATGCATAAATTATAGGTACCTATTCTAACTAGGACAGTTTTAAAGCATGTTTGGCTAACAAGCTTAAAAAGAAATAACCTTCAACCACCAACCACCTAAACCCATGTATAATAGTCTTTTATTTTCTATATATTTTGATAAAATATGTGTGTAAAACTTGTCCAAGTAATTTAGATAATTAAGTGTAAAATCCCATTCGTTTAGATTTTGTTAAAAACATATTTAACTATATTTTTCAATTAGCCTATTCTTAATTAGGGATTCACGTGGAAAGATATACAGAATTTTCAGAAGTAATGTTATCTACAGTTATATACGAAAATCTCAAATAATTTAGTAGGGTTTGAGAAGGAGGAATTGTGTGTGTAACCTTCCATTACTGTCCGAATTATACACATATTATTCCTCAAGGACTTAATTGATCAGCTTGCATTAGTTTAGGTCCTCCTTTGTAATAAGGATAGTTTGTTTAGTTCGTTTTTCTTTTTTCCCTCTTTCCTTTCCGTTTATAAATAGACTCCATTGCTGTATCGATTAAGAACTGAAATAAATAAAATTGTTGATTCCATCTGTTTGAACATGGTATCAGAGCATTAGGTTCTAGATTTTTCAGAACTGTAAGCTACGAATTAATTAAAGAAGGAGGAGTTTGAGCTCAGGATTGAGCTGCAATGGCCGGAAATCGAAATATAGATCTGCTTCCTATAGAGCTCAGGTACGACAAGACGAATCAAGGAAATGGAAGGCAAATTGAAATGAATACTTCAGATCCGTTGTTCCTACATAGCTCAGATCATCCAGGAATGACATTAGTCACAGCGCCTTTGACGGGGAAGAATTTTTTGGCGTGGAGCAGATCTATAAAAATTGCCCTTGGAGCTAAGATGA